TCCCCCTACCCATCCACCCACCCGCACTTTCCCGACACCAGTAGATGATTTTCACACAACCTTTTCCCCAATACACAAATTAATACATGCAAGTACGAGGGGCATACCAAAACTTTTTTACCTGACCATGAAAGAATAAAGGTAGAAAGCTGAAATTCGGGATGAAAGCAAATAATTATCGTCCTAGAATGCTTGTAAATTTTGAAGAATTTCAGATTACTGGTTTTACCACCAGGGCACTGTAAGTGAATGGGGGTATGTTGTTCTCCAGTTTCAACATAAAAATTGAGAAAATTTAGCGCAGTGCATTAATGAAGTATTTGTTTTTGCAAGACAAGCAACTGCAGGATATTTTTACGGAGATGCATGGCGTATATGGAATTGATTGCCCGTCCTATGCTGTGGTAATATTTTGGAGTAAAAAAATGAGGATGAGGTCAAAGAAGCGGTAGAGGGCTGATTTTCTGACATAGAGAGGGCCCTCTATTCTCAAGGTCTTTTCAAGGCCATACACAGATGGCAAACATTTATAACTCTTGGAGAAGACTACATAATGACAGACTGAGCTTAGTACCAAATTTCAGCTTTCTACCTTTATCCCTTCATGGTCAGGTAAAATACGTTTGGTATGCCCCTCGTACATGTAGTTGGTGCCGCCTCCCCTTTACGTAAGTCTCCCTTCATCATCATTGCCTTTCTCACCCTGCACCAGGGTATAGGCCACGGACAAACACCTTCCACCTGTCTCTATCTTGGGATAGCATCTTGATGTTATTCCATGTCTTCTCACTTTTCTGTACATCGGCTTTGTCCGCTGTCCTTCATTGTTCTTGCTGGTGCAGAAGCTCCTCCGTCTCCCCAGATCGAAAAATAAAAAGCTGTGTTTGCCTGTGTTTCTGTAACTGACTGGTTTTTTTAATGTGTCGGGTAGTTTGCCCTCTGCAAACTGGCACTTTTCGGGCGACCAGACCATCGCACTTTTAGTCGCCTCTTACGATACGCAGTATCACGACAGCTGTATTCTTTGCTCCCCCATAGTAAAACTATGCCCCATCCCCACCTGCAAGGGCGAAAGTCTCCCTTGCTTACCCCATTTCCTCACCCACCCCCTCCCTCCCACACACACACATTTTCCACTTGACCTACACTGTGACGTACCTCTGCCACTCCCCCCAACTCTTTTTTTTTCTCACGCCAGTGGATAACTGAT